TTTAATTAATTACTTTGGTAGTTTTCATTACCAATAAGGAAAACAACTTAACACTTACTTGGAGGAGGCCAGACCCACACTTAAACTTCCCCTCCACCAAGTGCTAACTGGGTTTTTGGCCAAGTTCTCTGACTTCTCTAAGTTTCTGAGTCTTCATATTTAAAACTGAAACAAACTAGTTGTAAGAATGTATGGAATAACATATGTAAATAAACAAAAGGTAATATCTATAAAGGATTTAGGAGTTATAGTATTTATAATACACAACTTTAAAATAATTTTTAAAAATACAAACTGCATTTTATTCTCTCTCTACTCCACCTTCCACCTCCATCATAGGCACAGTCTAATTTTACTTGTTCCATTGCATTTTCTAAAATTAATCTGTGCACTTAGAAGGTACTAGTATTCCATGACAAATCTATTAACATTTATAACACCAACATAAATTCCAAAAGCAGAGCTTTGTGGCTGTCACCTGATCGGCCAACAGGTATGGCCAGGACACTTCCAACTGCCACAGGAGCCAAGTCAGATCTGAGGCCATCAATCATTTTATAAACATTTACTGATAAAAACTAAGAGTAAGAGATAGGGCTGAGGAAAAGAAGTAGCTCATTTTCATATCTTACTGAAAAGGTAGTAAGCCCTGACAGGGTGGCTCAGTAGGTTGGGCGTCGTCCCGCAAACTGAACGGTCATCAGTTTGATGCTCAGTCAGGGCACATGCCCAGGTTGCAGGCCAGGTCCCCAGTTGGGGGCTTGCGAGAGGCAACCAACAGATGTTTCTCTCCCTCTCTTCCTCCCTCCCCTGCTTCCCCTCTCTATAAAAATAAAGAAATAAAATCTTCTTTTAAAAAGGTAGTGAAAGTAATTCTTGCTCTCAATGGTGTTACTGTCCACAAGGAAGACTGATGATACATGTACAATAAAATACAGAAACGCCGTGTGGTGGGTGCTGTAACCCAGGCACCCAAACTCCTACGGGAACACAATGGGGACTGACTGCCTGCCTTCAGACGGAAGGGAAGGCTGCGAAGGGGAGATGGTATCTAAGTCGCATAATGAATGAAAACCAGGAGTTGTCAGGTGGAGAGGAAGGCGTCCTTCTAGACAGAAGAAAATTCTGTACAGAAGACTCGGTATTTCCATGATACAGTTTTTCTTTTTCTTGCAGAGGAAGGAGTGGTGGCAGTACTGGTACTTAGAACGGCACCAGGAAGATAAGTAAAGGAGGGCATGGCTGGTGGGATGTAAATGTTGTGCTAAGAAACATGCATTATCCTGAAAACAACGGAGAATATTAAGGATTATGTGTGTGTGTGCTGATCCAATTGGCACTGAGCGGCCTTAATTAATTATTAGTTAACTGGCACAGGGAGAGGGTAGTTGCAGGTGCTATTGCTTATAACCCAGTAAGTCAATTTAACGGGCGACATCTTGAATTTTTGTTTAAAATGAATTCAAATGGAACAGAAAACATCAGAGATTATCTGACCTTGTAAGGGTAAGTTTTACAAAACTATTGTATCAGACACATGTGTATGTTCTGGGCCACAAAGTAAAATGCATTTGTTCCTAAGGATCATGGTTAAAAAATAGAATCCTTTGAGTTGGTGACTGGTGACTAACCAGATGAAGGGAGTGAGGGAAAAGTCACGGACCCCCAGGTTTCCGGTGGGAGCGCCTGAACAGATGGTGACACCACTGACCAAGTGAGGGGACAGAGGAGGGGGCCTGCTTTTATCAAGTCCTTGTGGGGATGCTGGACAGCAACCTCTCTAAGCACTTCTTCAGCCGCTACAGTCAATACTGATATTGTTCAGCAAAGACAAAGAACACACAGTCACTGCAGCTGCAAGTTCACATGAATACACAACTGATAAGGGCCCTCTGGAAGGGTCCCCGTCCTAAATCCCAACACACAGAAAAACTTGGGAACCAGACAGAGCAGACAGGATAATGGAAACATCAACACCTCCTCCAGGGAACAAACAGGATGTAAGGAATCCTGCCCCTATTCTAAGAGTCACTCTTGGGAACCCAAGCAAGCTTTCTGGAAAGCCCCACTGTCAGGGTATTCTGTTTCCTAGGTGGTGTGGGAGGTTTGGAGGGACTGGGAGTTCTTCCTACTCTAAAGACTGCTTTCTAAGCCTTACGGCCTCTCCCCCTCATACCCCCGCCTCCAGGAGGCATTTCAGTCCCTACACACCTCTAGCAAGCCCACTGAGTCCAGTAATACCGAATTGGGCTATCCCTTAGTCTCCCCGCTCGGGGCTCCAGGCCAACAGAAAAGGGCTGGAAGGACAAAGCTTCTCCACAGACTTGGGGTGGATCCATTACTCTTCCTAACACCCCTATCCCTTAGAAGACAAGAGTTCCCCATGTTTTCTTGGGGATCACAGCACAGCTGGGTCCCAAATGATCTTCCTGGTGACCCTTCCCCATCCATTCCTCCACAAATCTGCCCAGATACTTCAGACAACTGGCTGCCCTTTAAATATTCATGTTCTTTTTTTTTTTTTCACACACACCCCCATTCTTTTATTGTGGTAAAATACATAAAACACACATTTCACCATTTTAGCCATTTAAGTGTACAATTTAGTGGCACCAATTACATTCACAATGTTATGCAACCATCACCACTATCTATTTTTAAAACTTATCGTCACGCCAAACAATCCCTTAAGTATTAAGCAATAACTCCCCGTTCCTGTCTACTCTCAGTCCCTGATAACCTCCAATCTACCCCTTTCTCTCCCTCTGAGTTTGCCAATTTTAGGTACTTCATGTAGTGAAATGATACAGTATTTGTCTTTTTGTGTCTAGCTTATTTCACTTTCTAAGTGATTGTCTATGATCTGTGTTTAGCTCCTGATATTCCCTCTTCTCTGACAGAAGAAATGCCCCCTCTTCTCTGACAGAAATTCTCCTCACCCTTCATGGTACATCTCAAATGTGACCTCTACCACACAGATACTCTTTATTCATTTTTAGAGGGGAAGGGAAGAAGAAAGAGAGGGAGAGAAACATCAATGTGTGATCATCTCTCACACCCCCTACTGGGGACCTAGCCCTCAACCCAGGCATGTGCCTTGATGGGGAATTGAACCAGCGACCCCTTATTTCACAGGCCTGCACTCAATCCACTGAGCCACACCAGCCAGGGCACATCTGTTTTCCACTAGACTGAGTTTCTTGAAGGTGCAAACCATGTCAAATCCTTCTCTCCAATGCCCCACAATCCTTAACACACAGTAGGTTCTCAATCTGAGTTTGCTGATTCAAACTGAAAAGCTAGTGACTCATTCCACCAAAGCCTGCAGATCATAAGGACTACGGGAGGCAGGGTGGAGGGGAGATCAAGGGTAGGTTTGAAGCAGACAGCCTCTCTCCTCCCACTTAACTGGTGGTGGTACTCCCCACTCCTCTGAGAAATTAAACCAACCTCAGCACGGAAGACTCGGCAGACATGTTTGGAAAGGGTGGTCAACTTGAAAGAGCTGCAAGTAGTTTCAAGGTTCTCTCAGCTGCTATTAGTCAGGTATTGACCTTGGGATGTGGTCACAGGGATTATGTATTTTATTTTGCCATCCACTCCCTCTAACACTCTGATACCTCTAACTATGTGGGCAATAAAGAGTCTTTCATACAGCCTCTGAATATTATCTTTGAGCTCCTCTGGGAACAGCCTAGCCTCTCAACCCTCCCACCTTTCCAGTGAGTAATTCCACAGGGCCACCTCTGCAGTCCTCCCCTCTTAAAAAAGTAGTTTTTCTCTCAGTATACCCAGCTTCCCTCCCCGAAGCTTTCCCTAACCTCCACCATGCAGACAGGAGCTAATCTGCCTTCTCAGCTGTCTGGCTAAAAGGCATAGCACATTTCAAAGAAATAGGTAGAACTGGTGAAGTTTTTGATTGTCGTAGCTTCCTCTGTGCTCCCACAAGCACTACTTCATCAAATTCACTATGGGACTGAGCCATTCTGATTTATAACTGACCATTTCACATGTCTTATCTCCCTCGCCAGACTCTGAGCTTAGAACTGTTGCTAACTTCCAGCGAACTGCCCAGGACATAGTGTGCACTCAATAAACTACCAGCTGAGGAAAAAAAAAATAACATAAAATGAACTGCCACCTTAGGTCCCTCAGCCAATCTCAGTGACTGAGCTCAGAAGAAGAAATATTTCAGAGGTGATCAAAACCAAAAAGTCTTTATATAGCAGTCAGGCCGTGATGCACAGCTCAGCGGAAGGCAGCCTCAAACAAGGGTCCTTTTGACAGGGCAACCCTGCCCCACGTTCCTCAGGTACTGACTATGGCCAGAGTAGTAAACTTGGTTCTCCAGAATTTACTTTCCCAAGGCCTGGCAGTTCAATAAATACATTCCCCAGCCCCCACTTCAATGTCTCTCCTATATCCTTCTGACCTTTAATACTGTGTAACATTAGATGAAAAATTAATTTTTTTGGCTACTTATTTTGCAGCTGAAGAAAAATATACTGTTTAAGGTGTCAAATATTTTTACATGCAACAACCCTGGCATGAATCTAACCTGTATGCACATTTGAGAGGCGCAGGCGTAAATGTCAGCGCTATAATTTGTTATAGGTTTCTGATGACCAGCAATGAAATGACCACGGATTCTCACAATTCAAACCACTTTTACGTAAATGTGAACTTTCCTAAAACAGCCAAGGGAGAGAACTTTCCATCCAAGCTCAGGGAGCCTCTTTGAGATACTGATAGCATTGTTCCCTGGGTTAGGTGTTCCTTGAGAAAATCCTACAAATATTAGCTTCTTTCTGGGACTATGCTTTGACCTTTTAATAAAAATGTGCTTCAAGACACCAGTTATTAAAATGAAAGGAACAGTTTTTAATGCCCGAACAACTTCCATTTCATATAATCAGCCCTGCTGAAGGCTATACATTTCAAGCTAGCAACGTTTAAAAAAAAAAATACATTTGGTGACTTCATTGAAATTGCTCACTTACCAGACATGAAGAAGAGTTATGAGAAACCATGAGTTGAATGTATCAGGCATCTGACACCCTAGAAAATAATAATAAAGCATAAATATGTATGGGTTTAGAGGAGAAATATTGATTATCTTTTAAATATTGGCAGGAATTTGTTGAACTAAAATACACAGCAGTGACGGGACTCTGTGCTGGTACTGTCGGGGCGGGACAGGCCGGGAAACCACGGGGGCAGGACCCCCGGGTGGAAGAGGACCGACTGCAGTCACACAGCCAGCCTCTCGGTTCCAGCCGGGCCACCACCGTGCCGCGCAGCCTTGGGCAGATCAATTCTCCTCTCTGCGCCTCAGTTTTCTCACTTTGTCTAATGCGACCAAGATGATCTCCATGGTCCCTTCCAATTTCCGTGTAATTCTGTTATTTTCCCATCCTGGTCTCAAAATCTTCTGGAAAACTAGGCAGACACCACCTTACCTACCTCACTTATTAAGCACAGGCTTTTCTCACTTGCACCCCGCTGGGAAGTCTAAGTTCTTCTAGTCTCCTTTTCCTGTCTTCTTTCTTTGAGGTGACCCAGTGTGTTACTGAATGATTCACCCCAAATAAATAACCAGAAGGAAGAAGTGGGGCTCTGTGGAGCTGCAGCTGAGTAAGAAAGCAGACCACTTCCAACAAAAGGCTGTCTATCTCCTCCAGGAATGACAACACTGGGCAGGACTCCCTTCTCTTTGGTTTAAGATACCACACGTGGGTCAGTGCTCAGTTTAAGATACCACACGTGGGTCAGTGCTCAGGCATCCAAGCATCTCAGATCTCTAAGAAATGCCTCTGGCTGGGTGAGGGGTCCCCCACCGAATATATTCTCCTTAGTACATGACAGGGAGGAAAAGCTGAAGTAAGGGGATAAAGAAAAAAGAGAATTACTGGGTAGAATCTGTCCTTTGGAGCGATGACTCAAGAAATAAGTGGTATCTTCTGCCTTTCAGGAAACAGGGAAGTACGCAACATACTAAATAATAGCAAGTGGGAGAGAAAACACAGGGCGGGACCCCTGGGCGGCACACTAACACACCAATGTGATAAAGAGCTGTAATCCATTGTGGGCTTACTTTGTGTTATAGGAGGCGCTTTACATGCACTGGCTCAGTGAGTCCTCCCGACAGTCCTAGGAAGCAGGCATTGGATACTGTCCCCATTTGACAGGTGAGAACACTGACTCTTAGAGAGATCAGGACAGTTGCCCAGAGTCACAGCTATGACATGAGACATGTGGGACCAAATTCAGATCTGCCTGATTTCAGGCACTGTGGTCTTAATTGTCAACCGCCTGTCTAACACCAGAAACTAACATTCACTGAAGGCCCGCACGGCAGGCCAGGTCCACTGCTAGTCACGTCAGTACATCACCTCACTTAATCCTCACTTTAACCCTGAAGGGAGGCATTAAAGTTCTCAGTCTAGAGATGAGGAAACGGGCTCAGAAAAGCTAAGTAACTTGCGGGCAGCCACAATATTAGCAAGCTAGTGGCTGGGCTGGGGTGTAAGTCCAGGTCTGTCACAGAGTGACACCAAAATACTCTGGTGAGCGTACTGGGAGGTGCCCAGCAGCTGTCAAGTGGACTTCCTCTTGGAGCCCAGCAGGAGGGAGGTGAAGGCTGGCCATACGGCTATTAAGACACATGCCATCTGAGAGTGGGCCAACCACCCTCCACCTAGAACAAGAATAGCCATGAGAAACTCTCAAGCCCGGATCTGAAGTTGGGTCTTTTTTGGATGCTAGAACAAAACATTAAAAAGAAAAGTTTTCTTGGAAGTCTGTCTTTCAATCTGGAAAATGAAATTTGGCTGCTTCTAAAGGACAATCTGTTCAATGAGCTACCTCTACATCAAAGCTTCTCAGCAGCCTCCAGGAGCCTTTCCAATTTTCTCAGAGAGGGAATCAGTTCTTGGGCTGGAAAGCACAGACAGACAGACAGGCCAGCAACTGGACCTGGGTCACAATTTCCCCTTCTGGGGATCAGCTCAGGACTGAGGATGGGAAAAGAGCTGGCATATGACTGATTCCCTGTACACATTGGGGTCAAAACAGAAACCTACAAAGGCAAAGCCCTAAAAAACAAGACCACTCAACATAAAAACACAGCAGGTTCTTTAGGTCAATGAAATGAGTTTAAACACTTCAAAGTTAAAACCTGCCGTAGAGTCTTTTGCCATAACCACACTCTTGCTCCTACACACACTCAGTGCATTACTTTCTGAGACGAGGCACGTTCTTCCTCGACACTGAGTTAGATAAAATTCATCACTGTTACAGGGCGCCAGTGTTAACACGGTTGTTTGTTTAATGCAGGCTTTGGGGTCAAACTGCCTGATTCAAAACCATGGCTACCTCTCGCTAGCTTGAAGACTCTGAATAAAGTTACTTAGCCTCTCAGGGCCTCAGTTTTCTTCTCTGTAAAAATGGGGAGAACAAGAGAAGCTACCTTATAAAATTTTTGTGAGGACTAAACAAGGCCTGCAAAATATTTGGCAAAATGGTTAATATTTAATAGGTACTCAATAAATATTCACTATTGTTATTTTTCAGTGAGTTATTTCAACACTAGGGGTTCAATTATCTTAGAAAAAACTCACTGATTATTTAATACTGTGTCAATAAAATGATGAACTCCAATCATGGACTCATTCATTAAGGAGCCTCCTCTCAAAGTGTTACATGTTAGGGCCTAATCACAAAACAGCCTACAGACGGCAGTATGGAATTAAGCACAACTGTACTGATTGGCTACCTCTGATCCAAAGTGCCCTTCAAAACAGAACTGGTCTCCAAAAGACCAGCTAGCAAAGCTCAGAGAAGATGCACTCATTTATGCACAGCAGGGGGCTGCTAAGGTGTCTCACCAGCCAGAACCCACAGTTCCCAGCTCTCTGGATCAAGATCTTTGAACACTGTGGCTCTGAGATGACAGTCTACTTTGGCATTCTATGGGGACCTGTCCAAGAGGCTGAAACACATGTTGTTTACTCACAAGTACACTGTGAGTAAACCATTCATTCTTACACATTCTTCGTAAAAGAGCACTGGCCTTGCTTTTGCTGGAGTGAGGATGAGACTGATAAGCTACCTGAAGTTCTCCATCCTTTCAAAAAATTACTAAACTCTCAGGACTCTAAAGGTCAAGCCCTAAAATACCAAAACCCAAGGGACCAATGACCACTTGAAAGGTGTAATATAAATACACATATTCTCCTCTTTTACCCCAAATCTGTCTGTCTAGACTCTAAGATGAAAAAAAACAAGTCAATCTCATTATTTTATAGAAATTCTTTATCTGCCTTCAAATAGCACTTTTCAGAATGGCTCCCTTTTTTTTAATTCCCTAGCCACAGTCTGGAACCACTTTGATTTGATGTTAAACATTTTATTTTATTTTTTATTTTAGAGAGGGGAAGGGAGAGAGCAAGAGAGGGTGAGAAACACTGGTGTAAGAAAGAAACATCGATTGGCTGCCTTCTATACGCGCCCTAGGGGACCGAGCCTGCACCCCAGGCATGTGCCCCGACCAGGAACCAAGCTGGTAATCTTTCTGGTTCCCAGGACGATGCCCAACCGAGTGAGCCACACCAGCCATAGCTTAGTTTGATTTTAAACTTTAACCTACCCACAAATGACAAAGATAGACCACAATGGAGCATAATATAAATGAACACTCTATGGTTCTAAAAGGCAATCTTCAAATAGAGTCTTGGAAAACCTGAAATAAGCAAGAGTGGTGTCACTGAAAATTGTACAACCGCCTCCCTAGTTAACTACTTCAAGAGGCAAAGCTAGGACAAAGCTCACTAAGGTGTACACACTTTAATATATAAAAACATCAGTTTACTATGCTAATAGAACTTCTCACAGGCAGTTCTCATTTAAGTATAATAAAATACAAAACTATTAGGATGAATCGCAATTTCTCATTTGAAGTTACCTCAACTCACAAACAATATGTTACAGTGGGAAAATTCCTGGGTTTTAAACCAGATGACACAGGGTCAAAGCTGGCCGAACCCAATCTAGACGAGTCACTTAGCATCTTTAAGTTTCAACTGTTTCTGGAAACATGACAAAAATGAAAATAAGAATAAAAGCCCTTCCTATCCCACAAAGTTTCTTTAACTTCTAATGAAAAAATATAAAAGTATACCATGTAATTGTGAATTATTAGTATATACAGTAATAATTTTTATAAACTTTTATTTTTGTAAGTAGCTTACAATAAGATTATAAATCAAAACTTAAATGTCTCATTATTTGCTATATTAACTCAAGAATCTTCAATAATGAGGACTGGCTAAGACAAACATAAATAGTAAACATCATTTCAAAATAATTGTAATTCATTTCTGAGTTATTTATTGAATCAAATAGTAAATAGAAGTCTGAGGATAAGGTTTTAGTATCTGTTGAAAAATACTTAAGCTCATGGATTAAAGAAACTACTTTAAAAAATCCAGCTTCTAATATTAATAGTTTCTTCATCAGATACAGAAAGAATCTTTTCCTTTCAGACTAATCTTTCCTAAAATGAGAAACTGTTTGAGATTAAAAGGAAAACAGAAAAGTTTTATTCCTTCACTATGAATACATAAGAAGTGGAAGGTGGGTACTAAGGCAGAATCACAACTTAGTATGATATGTTTAATTTCTAATATGATATCTGCTGAAATAGTAGAAACAAACAAAACTTGCACTTGGTGTTTAAAAACTAAAAGAGTTATTAAATAATCAAAACTACATCTAGCTTTCTTTATTTTTGTGAACATAACTGCATGTAAATATTTTCTGTCTGTGAAAAACACCATGTACAGATGATCGGGTGTTTGCTGCTGGGAGGCTGATGGCTGTCAGCATGGACACGCCGTGCACACACAGCCTCCCCAACAGATGCATGGGACTGGAAACGGCTTAAGCCTGCCCAATAACTTTACAAGTACCTGCTTTAATTAAATTTGTTTATAACTACAATGGTTTAGAACATCAAAAGGAATACTCTATACAATCAATGGCTCACAATGGTCTAAGCCAGTAAAACCCTCTGGAAAGCAACTTATCGATGGGATATAAATAATAAAATTATATGTGCCTTTTAACCCAACGGTCCTTCAGCAGAAAAAAAAAGAAAAATCATGAGGCACATTCCTGGATTAACTGAGACAATTAAAAACTAGAAACAGCCCAGGCTGGCGTAGCTCAGTGGATTGAGTGTGGGCTGCGAACCAAAGTGTCACAGGTTCGATTCACAGTCAGGGTACATGCCTGGGTTGCAGGCCATGGCCCCCAGCAACCGCACATTGATGTTTCTCTCTCTCTATCTCCCTCCCTTCCCTCTCTAAAAATAAATAAATAAAAAACTTAAAAAAAACTAGAAACGGCCCGGGCTGGGTGGCTCAGGTGGTCAGAGTGTTGTCACGACACGCCAAGGCTGTGGGGTTGATTCTCGGTCCGGGCACACGCAAGAATCAATGAATGAATACATAAATGAGCAAAACAACAAATCAATGTTTCTCTTGCTCTGTTTTTTCTCTCTCTCTCTCAAATCAATCAATAAAAAAAGGTTTTTTAATGAGAAATAAAAGGGGACCAATTGGCAAAAAGTTCACATCGAAATGCTGAGTAAAACATCTAGAACGTAAGAGGTCTGCTCACACGAGTACACATTACTATGTAAAAAAGATGCGTGTGTGGACAGGGGGGTGTTAATGTCAAAGTACTAGACCAGCGGTTTTCAGTGTGCCACTGTAAAGCATGCAACGCCTAACTATCGAGCCAGGACACTGATGCCTTTTCCCTTAGATTTTCAAATTAAGAAATGACAACAGACAACATAGCTGCTTGGTGTGAGTGAATCAAAATTATATCTATTTTTTGATCAGCTCAGCAAAAAATGTATTTTTTGGTGTGTGTGCCACAGAATTTTAGTAATTAATAATTAGTTTATGAGGTGAAAAAGGTTGAAAATCACTGTACTAGACAGATTTTCTTCCCCAAACTTCTTAAAATATTTTATTTATAGGGCTCTTCTGGTCTTTGTTTATTCTATTAAAAGAGAAAAATTAGCAGCTTTTATTACACACATTGTGAAGGAAAAATGATTTTACCAGTGACTTTAAAAAAATATATCCTATTAAAAAACAAACCATAAAAAATAAAAAGTAAATTCATTTTCCTTTCCAGAACTATCAAAAACAGTAACTTACTTAGAAAGAATTCCTCGAAGTCAGTTTTCTTCACACAGCTAGTGTACATGCGTAGTGCCGCAATCTTAATCTTCTAGACAAAGAAAACAAAACCAGACTCAACACACGACCGAGTGGACATGCTGTGGCCATCAGACACAGGTCGGAGAACCTTCTATTTTTTCTTCAGCTAGAAGGAAGAATCCAAACCTGTCTCTAGGCAATTTAGTGGCTAAACAAACACAAGATATTTCTTTCTACTTTTAAAGCTAGTCATTCATACAGACTTCATACAAGTTTCACATTTCAGGGTTTTAGTATGAAAATGTCAAAAAGATTTTTCCAATATTTAAGCAAAATCTCTCCTCTGATTCAAGCCCATTTCACCACATGCAAGTCTCTAAACTACTGTTTCACACCTACCACATCAGTTCTCTTTCATCCGAAATCCTTTGTTATTAACAAAATCACCCATTCTTCTGACCACAATCAATCAAACAAACAAACAAACCAACCAACCCTTATTCCTTCAACCTCTCCTTAGAAGCACATGTATCTATTCCCAAGTCTTTTTCTCTTGGAGGAAAGTCATTTTTTTCTATATTCCCCTAGTTTTATAGTTAGCTGATTAACAGAAGACTATGTTTATAAATAAGAGTTTCTAATGAATATAAAATATAGTAGAAGGACTGATTTTTCACTATTTTCCAAAGCACTAAGAATTTTCTTAGAATTTTGATCTGAGTGGAAGTTTTAATTTATTCTCTGAGCTGTAAATTTAAGGTTTGTGTATTTTACTATATGTACATTATGCCTTAATGAAAATAAATAAGTTCTTTTAAGAGTTGAACTGTAAATCTGAAGACCAACTCAGTACTAACTAAATAGGTATTTCTAAGGACTTTCAAAATATTTCCTTAAGGATACAATTAAATAAACTAGCACATCGACAAAAGGCTTATAGAAGTTTATTTATTCTTAAAACATCCAGAGAAAATTACAAACTCAAATATGCACAAACTAAAGAAAAATATGCACAGATATGCAGAGACTGAGAATGACATAGCTACTAAAGAAAAACCAATCTGGAATGGTAGTAGAGGTATATTACTATGGTTCAAAGTCACCAAGAATATTGTATCTCCAATACTATGCAATCTTCATATTTCTCTATACCCTCTAGAGTCAGAACAACAGACTTTCATGGGCAGAAATAACCCTGATAAATAAAGGAAGGATTATGTCTCTGACTGAAATTAAGATTTTTTATTTGCCAAGTTGAGGCCTGTCATGATTTCAAGGCTTTTAGTATAAAGCTCACATAGGGAAAAACAGAACAGAACGTGTTAACCAGCAGAAATCAGATATACCTATGTAGGGAGTAAATCAGCACTGGAAGCCCATGATTAAACAAAAGCCATGGTACAACACTAGAAAAACAGCAAATTAAACCTAAAAGCACGCAGAAAGAAAGATATAATAAAGACAAAGAGCAGAAATCAATAAAATTGAACAGAAAAATATAGAAAATCAAAGAAACCAAAGCTGGTTCTTGAAATCCAGTAAAATTGATAAAACTTTAGTCAGACTGATAAAGAAAAAACCAAACAAACCAAGAAACAGAGAAGATACAAATTATAGAAATTACCAACATCAGGAATCAGAGGGATCATCACAAATCCTAAGGATTTATTAATAGGATAATAAGGGAATATTAGAAAAAATATTATTTCATACATTTAATCACCTAGATGAAACAGACAAATTCCTTGAAAGATATAAATGACCAAAGCTTACTAGCATAAAAAAACATGAATAGTCTTGTATCTATTAAAGAAATTGGATTTGTGGTAAAAATCTTTCCCTAAAAAAAACTCAACACTCAATGGCATTCACTACAGGATTCTACCAAACAAAAGAAATGATACCAAATCTACACAAACTCTTCCAAAAAACAAAAGGAAAGAACATCTCCCAGATCATTCTATGAGATCAACATTATTTACTCTGATATCAAAACCAAAACTATAGAACCAGAGCCTTCATGAATACAGCATCAAAAATTCTGAACAAAATATCAACAAATACAGGGTCCAGCACAAATAACACCCCTCTTTTATTACAAAATCATAAGCATATAATTCTGTAACATAACAATATTACACTCAAGCACACCATATGACATTTTAGGTTCACATTAAAACTATAAATTATTACATCCATATTGTTACCCTATGACCACACTCAAGCAGGAATTACTTCTGCCAGACCCTATAGAATCCATCAGTATTTAAAAAGAACAGCCCTGGCTGGTGTAGCTCAGTGGATTAAATGCAGGCTGCGAACCAAAAGGTCGCGGGTTTGATTCCCAACCAGGGCATACGCCTGGGTCCCCAGTGGGGGCCACGTGAGAGGCAACCATACAATGACGTTTCTCTTCTTTGCCCTCTCTAAAAATAAATAAGTACAATATTAAAAAAAAAGAATAATATATCATGATAGATCAAGTGGAATTTATCCCAAGAATATAAAGTTGATTCAACATTTGCAAATGAATCAGTGTAACTCACTGTATCAGTAGGCTAAAAAAAAACCCATGTAACTTCACTAACACCTTCAGGTTCTTGGAAGTATCTGACACAGAACATACTTTGGAAAGCAATGGTCTGTACCATCACCAAATTAATGATAACATTATCCTAATACTTTGGCATTGACAGGTCTATTCCTATTCTTGAGGCAAGGAATTTAGGACACCTGTTAGCTAGCTCTTTGCTTCATTCAGTAAATAATTTGCTGGGAATACAGCAGCAAACAAAGCAGTCAAAAACTCCCGCTTTTGCCCTGGCTGGTATGGCTCAGCTGGTTAGAGCATCAGCTAGTACAACAAAAAGCTGGAGGTTCAATTCCCAGTCAGGGCATTCCCAGTCAGGGCGTGTACCTAGGTTGCAGGTTCAATCACCTGTTGGGGCATGCATATGGGAGGCATCCAATAAATGTTTCTCTCTCCCATAGATGTTTTCTTTTTCTCTCTCTCTCTAAAATCAATAAACATAGGCCCTGACTGCTGTAGCTCAGTGGACTCAACGTGGGCTGCAGACCAAAGGGTCGCTGGTTCGATTTCCAGTCAGGGCACATGCCTGGAATGCGGGCTAGGTCCCCAGTAGGGGCCACGTGAGAGGCAACCACACATTGATGTTTCTCTTTCTCCCTCCCTTCCCCTCTCTCTAAAGATAAATAAATTAAAAATCTTTTAAGAAATAAAATCAAATCAATAAACATACTTTTTAACAAAACTCCTGCTTTCATAGAGCTTATAGTCTATTCAACTATAAACACATTTACGGTTTCAAGTAAAATTCCCAATGGCTAATTCTTGATTTTTTTAACTCCACAGTTCCCTTCAGATTCTTATATAGAGAGTCCTTTAGGTTCATAATTAATCCCTCTGCCTAAGGAAAGGCAGACTTGTGTCCAAGGCCCAAATCTTTCCTTGAGAAGGAGGATTTCCTCCACAACATGTTCATGAAGAAAGCATTCATTGCAAATAATGAAGACTTCACCAGATTGGCCAGGTGTTTATACAGTGCTCATACTGTGGCAATCGGGAGCATTTTATAGTTCCTCACTTTTCCTACAGGGAAGCCAAACCTTTATACTTGGGTGAGCCATTTTCCTGGACAAATCTTTAAAGCCGGTCCCTAATACCATCACACAGGGACTGGAAATAACAACTTAGGGAAAGAACCTCTTCAAGATTCACATATTAATATAAGTGAGCATTGGTAGTCTGTATCTTTCAAGTTAAGGAGGTAGGTGAACTAAATTTCCACCCAGTCCATGTGTACAAATTATTCTGGTCCTCAGATGACATTGTTTTTATTTCATTCTAACTTTGGAAGACTTCATAAATCTACCTGGCTAAAACAGAAACACTTAAGAAAGCTTTAGGAAATGAAAATCAGCTCTCCCACAAACATACATTTTGTCCCATCCTACAAGACGAAAAAGAAATCTAGTAAAAGGCTTACGCTATGGGAAGGGGCTTTGAAGTCATTTGAACCTTCTATTCTGTCCTGGAGCTCTTTCTATGGCATTCCCAAGCCACAGTCAACCACCTGGGCCCCTGCTCATTAAGTCCAATGACCCTGTGAGGCTACCTATCCCACTGGAGGACAATTCTTGTTAGGTTTTTGTTTACTGAACTTGTATCTGTTTCATGTAACATTCACTAATCATCTGCCCACTGGAATACATCAGATTAGGCCTTCCTTTTCTTTATGTTTGCCCCTCTAATACCTGAGAAGAATCATCATGTCTTCCCCTTTCCAGGCTAAGCATCTTTATTTCCTCCAATCACTCTTCATCCAACACAGTTTCTAAAGCCTCCACACAGCTCAGTGCCTCTTTCTGAATGCATTCCAGCTTGTCAGTTGTCCTTCAGAACTGAAATAATCTTTTGGGTAAATGCTAATCTGGAAACTGCCTATTCTATGGCACGTGGCTGAATCTCATAAATGTTGTCCTTGGTTTACTTGATGCTACTACATGAAGATAATGAAAAAGCATGGTTACTTCAGAATAGTCATATAGGTAAGAAAAAGCTACATTTAAATTCCTAAATATGAACCTAGAAGAAAAATGGAACTCCACATAAGACTGCAGAAAAAGATGGAGGAAAAAAGGTTGATCCTGCTGATGTGGCCAGGCAAGCAGGTGTTTTACTCCCTAATCAAAGGCATGTAAAAACCCAAAACTCAAAAGATCTTACCAGTGCATTCCAAAACAAGTATCTGGCCACAGATTTCATAGTCAGTATTTCCTGAAAAGAGCTAACAATCTTTCAAAATGGAAAGTTACACCTGCATTTTCCCACCTAAATTATACTAGAATGTCATCTTTGATGTTTGAGATCACAAGGGAATAAAGAAAAATCAGAGGCAAACTCAAGCTAAAGCAGTAAAGAAATTTTCTGGTGGTTTAATAATCCTCCAAATGGTAGCCAACTTTCCCTCTGGAATTATTAAAAAATGCACTAGACAAAGAATATAGTAGTAACCAAGTGAAACCAAATCATCAAGAAATGAATAAAACAGTAAATTTCTTTTCTTTTCTTTCTTTCTGCTCTCATTTCCCTTTTCTTTTAACTAACTTCTGATTTTCAAACAAAATGCATTTTAAGTTTTTCTATCCAAATGCCATAATCACAACCATTCATTTTAATAGAGGAAAAGATTTTGGTTAATAACATTATCAAATATACTAATGATTACCAATTTTCAAAGAATTAAGATGCAGAAAAGATAACTTTCATGAACATAACTAATATTTCTTTGATGATTAAGGAGGCACTTCAAAACTTTAGGGTCTCAAGAATACCATTATCATCTCGTATGTGTGTTATTTTCTATACTTTTCAAAAGCCCCTTACAAACAAAATGCCCGTGGAATCACTGTTCACTTTTCAGAATTCATGTAAAAGGAAGATTATAGAGAGAAGCCTATATTGGTACAGTGAGAAGCATTAGGAAGAGAACCACACATTGTAAGAGGAAACTAAAAGTAGAAGTCTAATAAAACTGAAATTCTAATTTGAATCCAACTTGTTAAAATGGTGTAAATGGTGTTACTTGGTAATTTGGACAAAACTATGATGTTATCTAAGAAATAGGTAACATCTATTGGCTTCTTTGACTAATATATAACTTATAACTGATTAGGCTTATCCAACATTCTAGCATTTTAAAAGGCCCTTCTGCTGTAATGGTAAAGAGAAACTGGTAGAACTGAAGGTGACTGGAATGATGAAAACAAAATGGCCAAAGTTTAATTACTTTAATTGCTTAGAGGCAATGTTTAAAAAGCCTAGGGGGTAGCCCTGGCTGGCGTAGCTCAGTGGATTGAGCGTGGGCTGTGAACCAAAGTGTCACAGGTTCGATTCCCAGTCAGGGCATATGCCTGGGTTGCAGGCCACGGCCCCCAGCAACCGCACATTGATGTTTCTCTCTCTCTCTCTCTTTCTCCCTCCCTTCCCTCTCTAAAAATAAATAATAAAAAAATAACATCTTTAAAAAAAAAGTCATTCTAGCTTTAACATCCTTTAAACAAAAAGCCTAGGGGCAGTACGCACCTAATGAAGAGAGGGAATTCATTAATTTATAGCAATTACTATATATCAGATAAGATGCTAGGCCAAGAGTTGACTAGGCATGATACAGCTAGCAAATATGCCTCCATAATAAGAATTATAATAAATCAAAGGGGCAATTAATTTAAAAGATGCTTATTAGTAAAATTTTACAGAAAGTCACTACAATGACCTAGTGAAAATCACTTATGAATATGGACATAATAACATGTCCTTAAGAACACTGCCCATCAGAACACCTGGCCCGTCTAATTCCTTAGAACTCATCCATGTGACACACCATGTAGCAAGAACCTGGAAAGCCCAGTCTTGTTGGCCTGCCTGCCACGGAGATACTTCTAAGGAATCAAGTTGAGGGAACGAACAGAGGGAATATTTCAGGCCCTCATGCTGTACAGATCTGACTCAGAAAGGGGGTAAGGGGCCTACAACACACTCTGAAGCTCTCAAAATAATGTATGAATTTCACAGAAATAAAACAAAAGCTTTAAAAAATCTTCTATAAGGAGCAGGAAGCACAAAGCCCCAAAAGAAAAATGAGAAGAACTTACAAGTCCTTACCCATTTACTGTATTTCAAAGGTCCAGTGAACCCCATGGCTTCTATGATCTTCGTGAAGGCACCAACCTTTTCCTCAACGGGCTCTGGGAAATCCTTGGCACTAGAAAACTATTTAACCAAAAAGGGAACCAAAATTAGTGGCAAAAAAAAATATTTGTAAGAATGTGTGTGCTTCTCATTAGGTCTAAAAGCATTTTTATTGCTTAGCTTTTCGTTTTCACCTAGAATTTTTAATTATCATTTTTCTGGTCATCTTATCACTGAGCACAAACACACCAGGTCCTCCAAATTTCCAAACAAGACATCCCCACCTCACCAACCATATGCCTCCGCATCGAGGTCTAGGAAAGGATCAATTCTGGGTGTGAGAATAAAAGTTCTACAGAAAACTGTCTAGGAAAGGATCAATTCTGGGTGTCAGAATAAAAGTTCTACAGAAAAGAGTACTTCTAAAAGGAAATCTTGACAACACCCCCCCTCAACCATGTCCCAAAGAACAAGTCTGAGAAAAGGATTGTTCTACGCTTATTGACATAACAGGAATTAGAAAGAAAAATACTGTCTAAAAAAGGTCAAATAAGCACTGGATAAACATTTTTAGACCCTTGTATTTCCTTAGTGTGACAAATTTTCTTAATGACTATAGAAGATGAGTCTAGAAGTTTGCAAATAACCTCCAAGAAAAACCTGTTCTAATGCTAAGCCTCTCCAGGCAGGGTATATAACCAGTAAGAAATTCTCCAGAAGTTAAATATTACTTTATTTTTGACATGCAAAAATTTCATAAAGACTTATTTCTCTAAAGCTTTTTCCAGGCAAGAGAGTACAGTGGAAGAAACAAAGAACATGGGATCAGAAGCCTTAGCAAGTGTTCAGTTGGTCTGTCACTTACCATCCTTGTGACCTTGGGCAAGCCACCTCACTTTCCTGAGCTCACCTGCAGTGGGTAAAATTCCTTGCCTCATCCAGCTAACAATCTTGCTGAGATTCAAAGAACACCTGTGTGACAGCACTCTATGCACATAGAAAGCAATAATAATTCTCACCTTACTCGTGGTGTGATACTTCCTACTCAGCTGTATGTCTATTCCAGGAATCTGTTCTGAGCCACCACATGCTAGGAACTGGCTCATCTGGGGCCACTTGGGGATTTAAAAAAGAAAAAAACAGATGTAAGCAACACTGAGCATTCACTTAATTCACTTACAGGGTGAATTCCTCTAAGCAGACTTGTTTCAAAGTCAAGACCACAGAATCTTTCCAGCCCAGTTCCTGGTGATCTGGTCACCAACAGGATTCAAGATTGACACCCAGAATGCTGTCAGATATATGGTGGGTGCTCAATAAATATCTGTTGAATACTTGAATAAATAAAAGGAGTCGGCCCTGGAAACCTGAAACTAAATACATCTGAGTTACTGCTAAGAACCAGAACTGCAATAAATACCTACTTAAATATTGGCAACAGTGCGCATACAGAGGAAAAAAAACAAAGACTTTCACATCAGTTAGTTTTAAGTTTGAAACCTGCTGTTGCGACTTACAAGCTAGATGGCCATGGGGAAGTACTGAAACTTAGCCGTAATGAGGACTGAAGGAACTAATACAGTAGTCTCCCCCTTATCCAGGGTTTCACTTTCAGTGGTTTCAGCTACCTGTGGTAAATGCAATCCAAAAATATTAAATGGAAAATTGCAGAAATAACAATTCATAAGTTTTAAATTGCACGTCATTCTGAGCAGAGTGGTGAAGTCTCACGCCCTCCCACTCCATCCCCTCCGGGACATGAATCACCCCTTGGTCCAGCAGATCCGCACTGTGTATGCTGTCTGCCCCTCAGTCACACCGGAGCTGCATCGGTCATCAGACTGCCTGCCACAGTTTCACCGTGCTTGTGTTCAAGTAGCCCTTACTTTACTTAATAATGGCCCTAAAGCATAAGAACAGTGATGCTGGCAATTCGGATATGCCAAAAAGAAGCCATAAAGTGCTTCCTCAAGTGAAAAGATGACTAGAATACAGTAAGATACTTTGAGAGAGACCACATTCACATAACTTTTATTAAAGTATATTGTTATAATTGTTGTTTTATTATTAGTTATTGTAGTTAATCTCTAACTATGCTTATATATTAAATTTATCATAGGTATGTATGTATAGGAAAAAACATAGTATAGAAGGGCTCAGTACTACCTGCCGTTTCAGGCATCCACTGGGGGTGCTGGAACACATCCCCATGGATACAGGGGGACTACTGCATATGCAAAATGCCTTTTACAAAACAGATAGTAAATAACAGAGGCTTTCACCATCATTGCCATCATCATCACTCAGATCAGAATTGCCTTCCTTTTATGTTGCATTTGAAAGTATTTTGGCAATATAATACCAAAATTATTTATAATTATTATGTGCCAGGTATTATGCTAAGTACCTTACATATATTACCTTATTCAATCCTCACCATAACCCTCTTAGGTTAGTATTATTATAATCAAGACCAATAAAAAATACTTTTGAAAATAACTTCCTAAGAAAAAAAACTACAGGCAAGAGATCCTCAGTGTAGAGTGAATATGGGTAAAACTGGGGGAAGAGTCCCATAAGGAAGGAGATGGTTAATTAAATTAAGGTACTCAATGGAAAATCTGGAACCACAGAGATTTCTTAGTAGACTTTATTTTTTAAAGCAGTTTTAGGTTCACAGCAAAAACGATCAGGAAGTACAGAGAGCTCCCACATCTATGTCCACCCCCCAAAACACACACCCCATCCTGACTATCAACATCCTCCACCAGAGTGGTGCATTTGTTACACTCGATAAGCCTACAAAGACCCATCACTATCACTCAAAGTCCACAGTTTACATTAGGGAGTATTATTTTTAGCGACATGGGAAAATATGGATAAAATTATAGGTGAAAATATGAATGCATATGGACAAGCCTGGAAAGGAACATACTGATGTGAAAAGGTTTTTTTGTTAATTAGTAGAACTATGGATGAGTTTAAGAATCTAATTTCCAAGCTTTCAGTAATACTGTGTTATCTTTACAATAAAAAGGGGTGGGGAGGGGACAGTGGGAGGGTACTCCTTCATCTCTGGCTATTTCCAAGAACACAGGAAACACATGAAATGAAAATAATTTTTCTGTTAATTCTAATGAGGAAAAAATGGCATTTCTAATTGTGGAGCATTACTATTTACTTTTCTTTCCTTCCAAACAAGGATATTAAAAGATTAGTCAGATTCTTCTAGTCAGCCCCAAAGACACTTAATGCTTTTATTCATAGGTATCAAGCAGGCTTTGTAAAACACAGACTAAACACAGAACACCTCCCATTACATCACATACTTTAACGTAATGGTCCGTCTAAAACACAAAGCACATAGATAGGGTCAAAAACTATATCCAACAGCAGTTTCAGCTTTGGGGGGCGTTCCTGTCTATCAAATTACATAATTTTTCTCTTTGCCCCTAGCTCCAGGAGTAACCAATGGATTCCTTCTGTGACAGTCTCACCACCTGCCATATTTCTGTCCTACCACTATTCATGAGCTACCATTTACATTGTACTCAACTACCAAATTACCTAGGCAGCTAGTACCAAGGACAACATCTAGCTTCCTCATACCTACACACACCGTGAGCACACACATTTACTTCTTTGTACCCCTGTGCCCCCAAAAAAGACTCCCTTGACCTTTAAAGACATCATTTTCCTTCATTTAAATTACAAAAATAGTGATAATTTTTGTAAAAGAGAAAAATACCCTGAAATATTCAAATGTCACCTTTTTCAAAGAGGCCTTCTCTGACCATTTCATCTAAAATAGTTTTTATCGCATTATCCTCCATCAAAGCAGTAGTAACCTGTTCATTTTACTCACAGTACTGGTTACAGTGTACAGTTATATACTTATTTAGGTACTTGCTTATTTTCCATCACCACTACCTAAAAAATCCCTGAGAGTAGGAACTAGGTATAATACCAGAATCACATACAGTGCATGGTACGTGGGAAACACTCAGACATTTGTTGTAGGAACAAATGAAACCACTTGTGTGGTTATGTCTTATTATTTCCTTTCTGTCCTCACATTTTTCATTCATCCAGCCCCTATCAAATGCCCAGGGTGTGTCAGCCCTTATACCAGGACTTAGGATACAAACAGAATCCCTATCCTTAAGAAGCTCATAATCTTGTGGAGAAGAGAAACAAGACTCACTACCCAAGAAACAGAACCAAATACCACATTTTAAAGCTCACCCACCCATACACACACTAAAAGGTTAGCAAAGACAGAGAGTAACTAGAACTTGCACAGACTGCTGGTAGGAGTGCAAAACAGTACGATCACTATGGAAAATTATTTTGCAGTATCTACTGAAGGTGAATGCCTGCATATCCTATATGACTCAGTCATTCCATGTCTAAGTATTTACCCCAACAGAAATGTGTGTATACGTTCACCAAAAAACACATATAAGAGTGTTCATAGCACCATTACTAATAAAAGCCCAAAATAGAAACAAGTATCCATCAATAGAAGATTGGATAAATTAATTGTAGTATATCCATATGATGATACTTTATCACAATGAAAATGAATAAAACTCTTACTACACAAAGCAACATGGATGAATTCCTAAAGCAAAGTCAAACAAAAGCAGACAAACACAAGAAAGTATATGCCACATGTATAAAAGGTAAAATGACACTACGGTGTTCAAAGTGAAGGCCATGGTTAACCATGGCTAGGGGTAGGGACTAGAAGCGGGTCAAGGAGGCTTCTGGGGTCCTATTTCTTGATCTGGATGCCCATTATGTTCACTTTGTAATAATTCATTGAGATATACACTTATGATTTATTCTTTTTTCTGTTATTTTATTATAGTTGAATAAAATGTACAAAACTTCTCAAAGATGTGGAATAGGCAATGTGACCTAGAATCATTAGAGAAGTGAGCAGGCGAGAGAAGACGAGTGAGAAGGCAGAGGTGAGGAAGCATGGTGTAATGGAGAGAGAAAAACACTGAGTCAGAGGACTCAGGCTGGTGCCCCAGCTCTTCCTACCTCATAAATTTGTTCTGAGAACTAAATAAAACAATGTATGTTAAAGAGATGTGTAAACTATAATGCATAATGTAAATGTAAAGACCTGCTCCAGACAACTCCAGTGAGAAACTCTTTTTCAGGCAGCACCTTGTTAAAAGCATTATAAATTTTTTGCCCTTATATTTTGCTTCTCAAAAGGTTCTGAAAATGAAGAGATCAGCAAGAAAGGGAGAGAGAGAGGCAGGGAGGGAGGGAAGGAGGGAAAAGGGAAAAAGGAAAAGGAAAGAAGGGAAGGGCTCAAGCAATTCTTGAATGCCATGGGTGTGCCTGGTCCTTTTAGCAGAACTAGAAGCTCCACCAGGCACAGTCTACCTTAAACGTCTTTTATTTTCTGACCCAGTGCTCAACACCACTCTGGGCATGGAGTCGACACTCAATAAAAACTAGGTGGATTTTTTTTAAGCAGAAGGACAACCTGGAGAAGGTCCAGCAAAGAACCACAGGAATGATCAAAGAGATGAATGAAAGGTCTTAGTGGAAAGGTTAAAATGAATTGAGGCTGTTTAACTTGGGAGCAAAAGCAACTGAAGAACTAAGAAGTAACTTAGAATAACAACACTTGAGCTGGAAGAAATCTCAGAGATCTAAGTCCAACCTTTTCATTTCACAGGTGAGGAAACTAAGACACACAGGGAAAGGTTACAACTTAAGACAGGCTTAGCACAAAGTTTTTTTTAAAGTTTCCATTTACACAGTGAGGAGAAAATCAACCCCAGTAGCATGAATATAAATAGCAACAAAAATACTAATTACAACTTACTGAAGATTTCCTACATGCCCAGCACCTATACACTGAGTGCTCTACTTAAGTTTACCTCACAACAACCTTGCAAAATAGAGGCTATTTCTTTCCCCATTTGAGAAATGAGGACACTAAGGCTTAGAGAAGTTCATTAAGAGGTAGAACATACGTACATTCAGATGACCCTATATCAAGTAGCTGTCAAAACCTTAAGTAGAATTGAAAAACACAGGCTCATGCACACTTGGCAACCATTCGCCAAGAAAAGAAACCAGGACTGCTCGGAGAAACTGTTGGGTCTCCGGCTAGAGCAAAGAAAATACAACATGAACCTGCAATATCTTGTGGTGCCAGGAAAGATGGAAATGTTCCAAAAATGATAGAGGCACCCTGGCTGGTGTGGCTCGGTTGGGTATCGCCCCACAAACTAAAAGGTCACCAGTTCGATTCATGCTCAGGGCATATGCCTGGGTTGGAGGTTCAGTCCCCAGTTGGGGCACCCACAAAAGGCAGCCAATTGATGTTCCTCTCTCATACTGATGTTTCTCTCTCTCTCTCTCCCCCTTCCCCTCTCTATAAAACTAAAAAAAAAAAAAAATTAATGATGAAGGCAAATAGAAAAGAACTTGAAGGAATTCCCAACAACCAAATCTGGAACAATCTCATCAACAAAATAAATAATGAGAATGATGAATTATAACTTAAAGAAGAAAACTAATATTTATGAGTTATTGATATAAATAAATAGAATAAATAAATGGGGAAGTGACAGTTCTTTCTTACCAAGGAATTCCAATCAATATAGTAGTAATGATAGAACTAGAAAATCACCATTAGGCATATACCCCAGTAATGATTGTTACAGTGAAGAACCAGTAACAGAATTATCATATGATGCAGCAATCCCACTTCTAGGTATATATCCAAAAGAATTTAAAACAGGATCCTGAAGAAATATTTGCACACTTATGTGTACTGTAGCATTATTCACAATAGTCAAGATGTAGAAGCAAACCAAATGCCCATCAACACTGAATGGGTAAAGAAAATGTGCTATATACATATAATGGAGTATTATGCAGCCTTAAAAAGGAAACATTGTTACATGGTATAACATGGATGCAACTTGAGGAAATTATGCTTAGTGAAGTGAGTCACAAAAGAGCAGGCTGTGTAATTCCACTCATACCTAGTATGTGAAGCAGTCAAAATCAAACAAACAGGAAGGAGAAAGGTGGTTGCTAACAGCAGGAGGTAGGGAGTTAGTGTTGATTGGCTACAGAGTTTAGAGATCTGTTGTATAAAAATGTGAATGTACACTACACTATGACTAAGGTAGTAAATTTTTTCTTAAGATTTTATTTATTTTTAGAGAGGGGAAGGGAGGGAGGAGAGAGGGAAAGAAACATCAAAGTGTGGTTGCCTCTCATGCGCCCTCTACTGGAGACCTGGCCCATAACCCGGGCATGTGCCCTAGACTGGGAATCTAACTGGCGACCCTTTGATTCACAGGCCGGTGCTCAATCCACTGAGCCACACCAGCTAGGGCTAAGGTAGTAAATTTAATGTTATGTTCTTTTAACCACATTTTTAATATTAATTAATGTTATATATCATTTAAAAAAAGAACCATTGATGGATGCTAAAAGTAGTGAGCAAAAGGATCAGAAACAGAATACCTGCATAGTCTCAAAGTTATCTTCTCACATGATACTTACTAATTAAATATGGAAAAATGATAACTCTAAAGTGGGGGAACCTGATAGACACCAATTTAATAACCAAGTGACCAAAGTTAACATCACTAGTAATAAAACATATTGGTATCAATTATCTCCTGATACAACTCACTGAGAAAGGAACAACATCACTTTTGCCAAAAATGTATAACCTCAATCTAATTATTAGAAAATATTAGACAAACCCAAATTGAGAGATTACAAAAGTACCCTTCATTAGGGGGAAAAAAACTAGTAATACTGGAAAAAGTTGTGTTGATTAGTTAATATTACTATATCAATGTTAATTTCCTGGTTTCAATAAGTGCACTATGGTTATATAGGGGGTTAACATCTGAGGAGGCTAGGCTAGATGAAGGGTATATACTATTTTACAACTTTTCTGTAAGTTTAAATTTTTAAAAAGCAAACTCATCATAGTATGACAGAACTTCAAGAGACTATTTAGAAAAGACAGAGATGAGTACAATGTCCCTAGCTTTTTTAAAATAATATGGTTATACCACTTGACACTGCCTTAGAGATCACCTGACACTATGACTCATCCAACAAAGGATTCTTTTTTTTTAATCCTCACCTGGGGACTTTCTCTTCATTGCTTTCGGAGAGAGAGGAAGGGAAAGAAACATCAATGTGCAAGAGAAGCATCAATCAGCTGCCTCCCATATGCTCCCAAAGTGGGAACTGTGCCCCAACCAAGGATCGTACTTGTCCAGACCTAGGCTCGCACAAGACCACACCTACACTGAGAACTGAACCCGCAACCTTTCAGTTATAGGAAGTTACAATGCTCAACTAAGCCACACCAGCCAGGGCCCAACGAAGGATTCTTTTATATCATGCCCTTAACATACAGTCATCAACCACTGCCTCAGTGATGTCCAGCAAGAGTAAATTAACTATGTCAAAACGCAGCTCACACATTCCATTATACCACAACTCTAATTAATACAGTTCTTCCTCATTCTCAGCCAAATCTGCCTCCCTGCCAGACATGTACCTGAGAACGTTATGCTCAGGCACAAGATTCCAACCCAGGGTTCTCAAACATGAGAACATGCTGGGTTGGCCAAAAAGTTCATTTGTTTTTTTCCGTAAGATGGCTCTATAGTAGCACTTGGTTGTCTTTAACTTCATTCAAAACAATTTTGTTAGACTGTATTGTGACAGCTGTCATATCAGCATGTATTTAAAAAAAACTTATCAAAATTGGTGAATTTTTGTGTAGCTATTTTAATATTGAAGAATAAAGATGTAAGAAAATAAGCAACATTTTTGGCACATTATGCTTGATTATGTCAAGAACGGTAAAAACTCAAAAAAGGATTTGTGCACTGTACAGAGAAGGTGCTGTGACTGATTGAAAGTGTCAAAAGCAGTTTATGAAGTTTCATGCTGGAGATTTCTCACTGGACAATACTCCACGGCTGGGTAGATTGGCTGAAGCGGACAGCAATCAAATCGAGACTTTGAGAACAATCAATGACATCTACGTTAGAGACTATAATGCCAAAGTTTTGGAAATAATTTTAATATCAAACAAAGGCTAAGTAAATAGAATAACATGTAATCATTAAAAAATGTAATTATGAAATCTATCTAACAACATAAATAGTATCTGCTCTAATAAGTGAAAAGGTACCAAAACATGAAATTCTATGGATATTTATTAAGGCACCTTAGGAAAAAAATGAGTACAAACACACACAGACTAGGAAAAATCAGCAGATGTTTTCAGGTTTGAAGTCATGAGTGATTTTTATTTCCTACATTACTAAATTATTTGTATGTTTAACAAAAGTCATTAGAAAAAAAACTTTCAAGAAGGGTCCATAGTAAACTACAATAAATCATGAGTCAATGGTAAATTAAGGCCTCAAATAATTCTTTGGATTTAGTGCTCGTAAAAAAAAACACACATACACACACAAAAAACAACAAAAAAAAACACAAAGAAAGAAACAAACATTTCTTCCCCCAAATAAAAGTGTCTATGAAAAGAAAACTGAAGAGAAGTTAACTCAGATGAATATCTGGAAATACTCCCAACAGTAAAAAATCATCAGGCTGTAGCATATCCCAGGCTAGATTCCACTGTTGGGGTATTTAGAAGCAACGCCCTAGACACCATACGGTAGGAATCAGTCCTGAGCTGAGACCCAGAAACCTACAGAGACCCAGAAGCGGTCTCATGAGTTTTTTCCATCACACAACTTGGTTGGCTGATCTATAAGTACTTGACATTGGCACACAAACACTAGGGTTTTCACACCAACCAAAGGAAAATCAAACCTTACCTGGGAAGTGCCAAACAGAGGCCTGCCCCACCGTCCCTGTGTAGGAGACAAAGGTACCAGCCAGCTGCATACTGGAACCCACTGGGAGATGCTAATCTGGTTCCTCTAAAGAAAGAAAAAAAACAGTCTGTCAAGAATCTATATCAAACTCAACATGTAGAAGGCAAAGAGCATATATAAGTTTAAAAATCCCGGCAGAACAGGGCACAGGAAAGGAGAACATCCAAAGCAGGACCAGGATCAAGCCTCCCCGCAGCTGTCACTTTAAGGATTAGATGTGCCTTAACCTGTTTGTGATCCACGGACTGAAAGAACTCTAGTGAGACACGACTCAAGCAGGGGACACAGGCTGCCTCTCAGGAGAGGAATAAAATAAGCAGACTTCAGGCATTTGACAATAAAAGCATCGTTTAAATTAGCGTTTGCAATGCCTTTTCAAACTGATTTATCTGTTATTCATAGAATTCTTTTATAGTGAGCAGTGCTGGGATTACCAGCATCCCCAAAATGATAAAGAAACTGCGGCTGAAATTTTGGGCTGGGAAAACACACTCGGGCAAGTTGATTCCCAAGACAAAAGAGAGATTAAATGGCTGAGCTATGACTGTGATTCAGTTTTTCCCTCTGGCATTACTGACCTCAGAAACATCTCTGGGCCAAAGTGAAAGGCTAGGCTGGAGAAAGGAGGAGCTCTATCTTGCTAAATGAGAAACCTACTTTATTTTATGAACCTGAAATACACTCCACTGTATAAATGGCATCCATGTACACAGCACTGGAAATCTCTATTATAGGAACCAACTCAGGGGAAACCAAGGATTTCTTACACTTGACCAGGAGACCTTATAGGGTCACAGTGAGGACTGGATACACAAATTATTTGAAAACAATTTTCCAAGCATAAACTACAACACAGGAGTCAAAGATCTGGATTCTAGTTTAAACTCAGCTACTCTAATAAGATCTCTACACGTAATTCAACTCTATGATGCTCAGTTTCCTCATAGCAATTATTAGTAATACAGTGGTACTTCGGTACTTGTCGTTAATCTTTCTGGAACTCGTGAGGAGTGCTGAAATCAACCAGTACCTAATGATGAAGCACTTTCTCCTGCGGAGTGGCATCACAGCTCACACAAGTTCTAGCAAGTGCAGTGAGTCCCTAACAAGTGCCCAAGTGCTGAAACATTTTTTTCTCATCAAAATGCAGTGAGTACAGGATTTGACAAGTTCTGAAGCCAACAAGTAGTGAGGTACGATTATTCTTATGAGCACTTACTACATGCCAGACACTTTTCTGGGCTCTTATATGAACTCATTTAAACCTCCCAATCACCACCCAACAACCTAGGTATATTGTTATTGTCCCAATTATATAGATAGAGAAACTGACGTATGGATAAGTGACTTCCCAAGGCCACATAGTTAATAAATGGCAGGGTTAGGGTTTCAACCCAGGCAGCACAACTCCAGGATCCATGATAATTTATGGAATGAAAGGACCACGGGAGTATCTCCAAAGTCCCTCTAGCTCTAACACTAGACCTAGTCTTGAACCAATTAAACCACAGCATAGTAAGGTGGGAAGAGCCATGTACTAGGAATCAAAAAGCACAGATCTGATTCCTGGCTCCACTGTTAGTAAGCGTCAAGTATTTGTTGCTTTCTCTATAAAATTAAGAAAAATCCTTGCTTTTCAGGATTTTAAGAAAAATCATCAAATGTGCCTTGTTGTGTATGCACTTCAGTAACTAATAAGTCTGAATCTCCATTTCCTTACGAGTAGGTAGGAAGGGGCAGAAGTGAGGTTAGAATGTTAAACTCAGAGATGCTTTCTAAAGTGTCTCATAGTTCTAAATCTGTATCAACTGTTTCCAATAAGCCACTCATGGCACTTTGTTTCAAATGAAGAGTAAAGATTAAAAATATTTTATTTCAGCTGAGGTTTGATCTGTTGAGATGGTTTTCAAGTGAGAGACAGCTACTAGGTTTTGTTAAGTAATGCTGACGGGTTTTACCAGAATCATTCAGTGTCAAATGTTCCTTTCCTAAAAATGTAAATATGGGATAAGATGAAACTTCTGCAGATTTAGGCTCAAAGAAGTGGGGGGTGGGGGGAGTAAGAGAAAATTACAAGTAGAAACAATGAAAACTTTTGGAAAATTTTCTGAAGAATTTCATCATATTTTTTCCAGGGTCAACAAAATTTTGCTCTGTAATTTTGGCTCTACTTGGTCTTCTGCCAATATGTTAAATCAGTTCTTATTCAAAGAAAGGAACAATCGGCTCCGTTCTGTCCTTCTCCAACCCTGCAACAACAATGCCTGTCTGACCCTTAACTAAAACTGCTGAGGTGTATATAGCAGGAAAGGTGTTTGAATCCCAAGCCCGCCATGAAATAGCTTGGTGACCCTGAGCTAAGTTACTCAGTTCTTTGGGCCTCCATTTTCCCTTATGTAAAGTGGGAATAACAAAAGCTACCTCAGCTGCCTGGCTGGTGTAGCTCAGTGTATTGAGTGTGGACTGTGAACCAAAGAATCACAGGTTCAATTCCCGGGCAGGGCACATGCCCGGGTTGCAGGCCAGGTCCCCAATGGGGGACACGTGAGAGGCAACCATACATTGATGTTTCCTCCCTCTCTCCTTCCTTTCTCCTCTCTCTAAAAAAATTAAAAATAAAATAAAATCTTAAAAAAAAAAAGCTACCTCTCAGGAGTGTTCCAAGGATCATTTGTAAAAGCACTTTGGTAACAGTAAAACACACACACAAAGGCATCATTATTGTTATTAACAACTGTCACTGAATTATGCAAGTAAACCCCTCTTTCCCCAGCAAACAGTCAGCAGCAAGAACCATTTCCTTAAGATACTATTTTGAACCTGTAATTCCCTTTCTCAGAAGCTTGCAGGAGGCTCCATCCACCTCTTTAGTCAAACTCACACAGCCGATCTTTACCAACTGGGCCCCGGCAGACTCACTATAGTTGCACACCCTGCCTTTATTTTCCACTTAGCAGGTCTGGAGCCCAACTCAAATCCTCTGGTTTCAGAATCACCACCCCACTCCACACGAGCTAACCCCCTGGCAGTCCCTTCCTCTGGGACTCTCTTCTCCACCCAAACCACGAGCTCCCTTGCTTCGGGGCGTCTCCCTAGACTCCAAGTTCTGGCTCTGCTGACCCTATCCAGTTCTTTGTCCTTTCCTCCTCTTATAATATTTCATTTAATAAACATAAATCTGTGGAAGTACTTCTCTCCCTCTTATAGGTACTAATACATTCCCAGTTAAAATTATTGCTCTAACTTAGGATAATATATGTACCATTACTAAGTGGGAGTTTTATTGTCTTTTTGCTTCACCAACACTTCAAAACCAAAATTTTAAGGATAGGTTTCAAGTTATTTCCTATGCATTTTATAAAATGCATGTAATTTTATTTATATTCCAAATCATTCTGACAGCCCAGCTCTTATTTTTACTATTCTTTAATCAGGCCACTAACCAATCTGTTTCTGCATGTAGTTTTTAAGATACATAGTATTTATTTTGGCTCACTCATGAGCAGGAAAAGGCTTTACAGGTAGTCAATTCTCCTATTCCCTACAGTTACATTTTATAAAGTGACCACAAGTAGAGTTAGCAAATACTGAACCATTGCTCCTAGGGGAAATGCAGGGTTAGGTTCTTGCAAGCCTCAATTCACAACATTTTCATCAGCCAATCAATACATAGCCTTGTTTTATGTGTTTCTGTTTAAACATACCTTATTTAATATATATTATTGATTCATTAACATTGAACTCATAGCCAATGGCAAGCACTGTAACTCACTCCTGAACAAAACTTATCTAACATACAAATTTTCCCCATAATAAAATAAACATCATGACCTTTTTGCACTTTGTATCATTAGCACCTACCACTATACTTGGAGGCCATTTTAAACAGGGAAATCACCAAAAAAGCACAAAAATGCAAATAAACACATAAATACATACACACATACCCATGGCACTAAATAGACCATGAAAAGGACACCTGCTTACAGTCTAAAAGCTGAAACAAGGAATAGAGTATGACCTTGTTCAACCTCAGCAAGAAACATGCATGTTGTAGCTCAAATTTTTCACCCCCTTGCACACGTCCACAGATGAGTGCAAAAGCTCCATGAGTACTGGTTTTGGACTACAAATAAAATTTAGCAAGTACCACCCTGGCAGGCATGGCTCAGCTGGTTGGGCTTCATCCGGCAAACTGAAAGGTCGCCAGTTTGATTCCTGGTCAGGGCACATGCCTGGATTGCAGGCTCCATGCTCCGTCCTGGGATGGGGCACTTGCAGAAGGCAACCAATCGATGTTTCTCTCCCTCTCTTTCTCCCTCTCTATAATTTTTTTAAAACATTTTTTTAAAAAAATTTAGGAAGTAGTCCCCATTATCTGTAGGGGATAAATCCCGCCCCCCCCAGCCCCGTGGATGCCTGATACCATTTCACTTAAAGGAAGCACTTTATAGCTTCCCCTTGGAGTATGTGAATTGCCAGCATCACTACTCTTGTGCCTTGGGGCCATTATCAAGTAAAATAAGGATTACTTGAACACAAACACTAAATAGAAAAACAGTAACAAACTCTATAAAGGAAAAAACTGATTTCCAAAGATGTTATATTATTTGAAGTTTCCAGTTTTCAACAAAAATTTATGAAACACGTAATTTAAAAAAAAAAAGTCCATACACAGGGGAGAAAATATCAATAGAAACTGTCTCTGAGGGAGCCCAGACATTAGACAAACTAGACAGAGATTTTGAACCAGCCATTTTAAATAGTTAAGATCTACAGGAAATCTTATCTAAAGAACTACAGCAAAGTATGAAAATGGTATCTCACCAGAGAGAGAACACCAATAAAGAGAGAAATTAAAAATAAAAATTCTGGAGTTGAAAAGAACAATTAAAAAAAACAAACATGTCACTAGAGGTGTGCACAGCAGACTTGAGCACAGGAATCAGTGGCTTTGAAGATAGGTCAACTGAAACCATCCAGCCTGAATCACAGAAAGAAGAATAAAGAAAATTTAACAGAGCCTCACAGACCTACAGAACACC